ACTGTGATGTGATCTACTGTGATGTGACTGTGATGTGATCTACTGTGATGTGACTGTGATGTGACATATAAGTAGTGTGCTCAGTTTACTAATAAAGTCGCCATCGTATCAACGGCTACTACATCACTCATCTGTACATCCTCTACATCTCTACTACGTTCGACAAGCTCTAGTATCTCATATCTGCTACGAGTATACAATTATTATTATTATTATTAAATCTTTATTGTATGTAATTCAGATACAACTACATGTACTGACGACAGTTTTTTTCATGGTGAAAAATCAGAAAAATGCAATAGTGTTGAGTAGTTAAAATGATAAAATTTCTGACTGATACAGTACAAAACAATGCTATACAACATGAAAAAAAAAATATACAAAAAAACAAGAATATTCCTGAGGCTACAACCTCCTTCACACTACAACAATTGGTGGAGGATGCGGGATGAGGATCTACATCAAGAGTAGATAATAACACATGTGTTATTATCTACTCTTGATCTACGTCTATACTACGACCTCTTCTACTACATCGGCATCTTGCATTTTACATTTTAATTGTAACTATTTTTGACTAAGGATCACATTATTTTAAATATTGTATATATTCATTCTTAAAGATGATTTTAGTTGTAGTGATATAGTTTTATGAACCAATATTTTAAGTGATATCTATGTCTTACCATGGGACATATATTATTGTAAATATCATCAATTTCAGTTTTATACTGCCTGATGATATATCGTGTTAGCAAAATTTATTTTAATTGTAACGTTGTAAATACTAGTTTTGCAATAAACCTATTATCTATCTATCTCTATTACCTGCGGCATCTTACAAGGTGCATGATTCCTGAGCCTCACTTCTTTCTCGATACAACATCTGTATTAGCGCTACCCGTTCAGCCCTTTGTTTGGCTGACCAGAGGGCCATTACCATGCTGCATTATATACATTAGATGGCTGGGCCATTACCAGAGCCCTGTAGCCCTGGAGACCTTGAGGCTTTCAACCACCGTGCCAGGTCATGTGTGCTGCAGTGGCTAGGCCGAGTGTAGTGTAGTGACCCTGCGCTAATTTTAGATGCGAATAATAAAAACATAATGACTAATTATTCGGTATTATGTTATTATCACGTAATTTTATGAATGTTTATGAATCTACACATCAAAGTGTTTTCCATTTTATATAGCTATATATTGTGCATTTCTGTCATATCGGATGCGCAGATATATATACACAAATACATATTTTCGAAGCTTGAATCTTGATTTTCTGCCGACTCTCTGGTCACAATTAACGACACGACTAAAAGCCTATACCTGATGGTGATGCGGCAGTCGGGTTCAGAGGCACTTGGAACGTCTCAATAAAAAAAAATGTAAACACGAAATGTATTTACTACCAAAGTCAGTCAGAAATGAATAAGAGAGAATGAATGATATGAATAAAAAGAACATGAATAAAACTCTCTTATTTATGTTGTTTTTGCACAGGGCGGGCGTGCGGTGTACTTGTGTGTTGCAGATGAGCATTTGAACGGCATTAACAGCAAGTTATCGGCAATAATAGGCGAAATAGAGTAGAGAAACATTAAGACTTTGGTAGTAAATTTATTTCGTGTTTACATTTTTTTTTTAGACGTTCTAAGTGCCTGTGGTCGGGTTGTCCTTCCACGGGAAGGTGTGTTTACCAGAGGGTGGGGCATGTTTACCAGAGGGTGGGGCATCTAATTAAGTAAGACAATGTTGATACATATCCTAATATCCCATATCCATATACTAAGTGTGCTAGTCATGCTTTTTGTGTATATATCCTTGGTAGTTATCCAATTTTATGAATTCAGAATTTATTGTAAAAGTATTTGATGTATTGTATATGATGGATAATTGCCTAAATAAATAAATAAAAATAAAAAATAAATCCAGGCGATACGACGCGTGTAATAGTAACACTGTGTTCTTTCCCATCTCTCCCATTGATTCTCCTTCGATTCTCCATTGATTCTCCTATGTAACATTGAGGTGGTTAACTGGTCAGCGTACGTACGGCCGGTATACTAACTAGCTGTTCAAGTGTCTGAAACCAGTTCCTGCCTGCTCGTGAGACATACAGAGACATATACAGAGACATGTTACAGTAAATAATTGTGAGACGGAGATAAACAGATATAGAACGTACGAGAGACGATGGACGTCACATGAGGTAGCATCACTGTGATGTGATCTACTGTGATGTGATCTACTGTGATGTGATCTACTGTGATGTGACTGTGATGTGATCTACTGTGATGTGATCTACTGTGATGTGACTGTGATGTGATCTACTGTGATGTGATCTACTGTGATGTGACTGTGATGTGATCTACTGTGATGTGACTGTGATGTGATCTACTGTGATGTGACTGTGATGTGATCTACTGTGATGTGACTGTGATGTGATCTGTGCAGTGACTAACTGTGATGTGACTGTGATGTGCCGTGATGCTACTGCTGATAGTTGACTGTGACGTGATGTGACTGTGATGTGCTCTAGACTGTGATGTGACTGCTGATGTGCATCTACTGTGATGTGACTGTGATGTGACATATAAGTAGTGTGCTCAGTTTACTAATAAAGTCACCATCGTATCAACGGTTACCGGTTCTATCTGATTTGGAGACTACATCACTCATCTGTACATCCTCTACATCTCTACTACGTTCGACAAGCTCTAGTATCTCATATCTGCTACGAGTATACAATTATTATTATTATTATTAAATCTTTATCGCATGTAATTCAGATACAACTACATGTACTGACGACAGTTTTTTTCATGGTGAAAAAATCAGAAAAATGCAATAGTGTTGAGTAGTTAAAATGATAAAATTTCTGACTGATACAGTACAAAACAATGCTATACAACATGAAAAAATATATATACAAAAAAACAAGAATATTCCTGAGGCTACAACCTCCTTCACACTACAACAATTGGTGGAGGATGCGGGATGGGATCTACATCAAGAGTAGATAATAACACATGTGTTATTATCTACTCTTGATCTACGTCTATACTACGATCTCCTCTACTACATCGGCATATTGCATTTTACATTTTAATTGTAACTATTTTTGACTAAGGATCACGTTATTTTAAATATTGTATTATATTATTAAAGATGATTTTAGTTAATTTTATAAACCAATATTTGAGTGATATCTATGTCTTACCATGGGACATATATTATTGTAAATATCATCAATTTCTGTTTTATACTGCTGATGATATATCGTGTTTGCCAAAATATTATTTTAATGTAACGTGTTTGTAAATACTGTTTTGCAATAAACCTATTATCTATCTATCTATCTATCTCTATTACCTGCGGCTCTACAAGCTGC